TCTGCGGAAAATTACACAATGTCGGAACCACCATAGGGCTGGACACTCTCACCAGAAGGGACAGATTTGAACTCAGGACTGAGCTGGCCACCAAGTCCGGTGTCAACGGCTAAAGAGGAATTCGTGTCCCTGTGGGGCGACGCAGGTCGGCGACTTCGCGATATCACCGTGACCCTAGTTGCACCCTAGTTTGCACATTTGGGCTATTTTCCAACCCATGCAAATCATGGCTCACAGGACGTCTGAGATCAGGAATCCCACTTTTAGGGTTTTCATGCAAAAAAAGAGGGGACGGTGACTCCGTGTGCAAAAACGCAGTGACAGGCACGGAAAGTCCACCGTGGGACCCCATTGTGTCGATGCACTGGGAAATACGGGGAATACGGTCTAGCATTCATTCATCAAACATTCTAGCTGCAAACTCATGGACTTGACCCTTTCATGACCCCACTACCCATAAAACCCACCCTAATGAAGGGCCGCAGATCAGATCCCCAAAGGCTCTCCACCCCCAAAACCCTGTGCACATGGCCCCAAATTCTCCCCAAGTAATTTCCCCTGCAAACCAGACCCACCACGAGGGGAGGTGGGTTGAGGAATATCATTATTTGTGGTGTTTTTCCCTGGGGGCGCTGGGAGCCCCAAAAGAAGCAGATTGGGGTCCCCACTGGGAGGAAAATGGGGATTTCTTCCTTGAGGATTCTTTCTTAACTAAGATGGATCGGGCAATGAGGGTAAAAGCAGGGGGCGCCCACATCGCAGTGGGAAATGGGGTGCAGTGGACCTTGAAGCTGTAGGGTGAGTGGGGTGCAGGGGGCGTGGGCGCAGGTGTCCAGGCACGGTGCATATGGGTGGGCTTTGGGATGGACATGCATCGGATTTGGGGGCGAATTGTGGGGTTCATCTGAGGTGGGTTCCAGTGTGAGCTGTGGGAGGCACATTGGGTAGGCTTTGGAGTGAGATGTGGGGTGCAAAAGGGGTTGAGCTCAGGTAGAGCTGTGGGGTGCTCACGAGATGGGTTCTGGGGTAAACTCTGGGGTGGATATGCATGGGGTTGGAGGTGAGCTGTGGTTCATATACGAGATGGACTCAGAGTTCAGCTCTGGGGCGCATGTGGGTATGTTTTGGGGTGATGCAGATGGGATATGTTTTGGGGTGATGCAGATGGGATATGTTTTGGGGTGATCTTTGGGACGCAGATGGGATATGTGTTGGGGTGATCTTTGGGACGCAGATGGGATATGTTTTGGGGTGATGCAGATGGGATATGTTTTGGGGTGATCTTTGGGATGCAGATGGGATATGTGTTGGGGTGATCTTTGTAGGGAAAAAAGTCACCATCCTGACACCGGAGTCCCCAAGTCCCCCATTCAGACACTTAGCCCTGCACACGCATCCTTTGTATAAATGTCAATCAACAACCCTCTTTGCAAATTTCTCTTCCTCGGCGTAGCACTGGGGACGTGAGGTGACACAGTGACAAGTGAGACTTCGTGGCTTTTGCAGGATGGGTGATTTGGATCTATTTTCCCACGTATCAAATTGTCCCTTGCACACCTTGTATACCTGTCACGTAGACTTCCGCAAAGCCACATAGGAAAGGGACAAGGACAAGGTTCCTCCTTTGGGGACAGTGACTCTGGGTTAGGTTGAGGAACGTCCTGGCTCCTTCTTGAAAGTCCATGGCCGGGAAAAACCCCAAGCAGTAGTCCACGGTGACAGGGACACAATGTCGCAATGCGACAGGAGTCGTGAGCACCCCGTGTCACCGTGGCCAGCGTCACCTCTCTGTGTGACGACACCAGTGATGCCCGCCCAGAAACCATCAGCTTCCCACTCCACCAGGTCCCGTCTTTGGCCAACCCCCTTGGAGACCCCATTTGGGTGTTTTTGGTGACAAACCCGAAATTCAGGGACACGTCGGGACATTTTGCAGGTGGCTTCACGGAATGGGGTGCGACTTTAAGTCCTTCCAAAATGACGGCCAGGCTCGCCCCAAGGGTCAGCCATGTCACAAATGCCATCTCACGCGGGTGGCAAAAGTGCTCCAAGCGTCTCTGGTGACGCGAGGCTCTGGGGACGAGGATCTTCAGTACATTGGGGTGACCCTGAATTGGGGGTTAATCAAGAAACATCCACCGGGGGACCTTTGTGTGGACTGGGGCAGATGTCCAGGTCGTCACCAAAATGTCACAGAATTCCTCTGACAAGGAAGGGGTCGTTTGGTTTGGGTGCTGGTAGAGAAATGCAAAAAAGTGAATTTGCATTTGTTAAAAAAACCAAATCCGTCACCCAAACGTCACCGCACGGACCCGACAAGGAGGTCGTCCCATGGTTTGATGGTGAAATGAAACTGAGATTCTTTTTCTTTCTTTTTTCGCTGTTTGGTGTCTGTGCAGAGGACACCCGGCTTGGGTCTCAACGTCACCTTCAGGTCCGGGCTCCTAAAGCCGACCCTTCTATTTCTCTGGGTTTCGAAGGAGAACCGTGACACTCCGGTCACCCGGGCAGTGGGAGACACCCCACTGATTTGGGAGTTTCAGGGTTAACACTGAGCCCTCTTAATACCTTTGGGATTTCAAAAATAGCTGTTTTGCACATTCCTCAGTTTTCCCAGTGGCAAATCGACTTGATCAAACATCACCGAAGAAAACCCTACAGAATAGCAAATGAGGCCGCACGGGACAGGGAAAGATTACATAAAGGAGTTAAAGACAAGGATTTCCTAAAGCGGAGGAAAAGAAACACCAAAGGTGCAGGTGTCCAGGTCTGTGAGCAGATGCACTTAAGGTTTGTTGATTGACCCTGCCTGGGGCAGATGTCAGGAGTCACAAACGTTTGCATTCTTTGGTGATTGGGGTTTTGTCCTCTTTGTGAGTTCATAGGGCTTGAATTGTGGCTTCCTCTGACTGCTTTTCCAGCTGGGCTTAAGGACCCTGTTCCGGAATATTCTCCCGGGTCCAGAAATTGTGCAAATGAGAACACCAACCCCTTTGTCCCTTTTCATTTGTGACATCGTTTTATAAATTCTGTTTGAAACCCTTTGATTCCCGCTTGGGGGGAAGGGACAGGCCACACGGGGTGGAAGGATTTACCGTTGGGGGAAAAATGCATTTAAGGGAAAAAAAAATGCAAAAATTATCAGACAAAGAAACAGGAAGTAGGACCTGCTTAACTCTCAGTCAGAAAATAGTTTTCTTGCAAATTTTTCAAATGCACAGAGACAACCCCACGATCAGTCTGTTGGCCCTTTTCTGGGGTCTGGGATACCCGTTAGACACGAGTCAGAAAGCAAATTAACATTATAGAGGGAAACGATCCCTTTTCCCAAGAGTTAAGTGACAAACCTCACACTTCAGGGGACATTTGCCTAAGCCGAGAGTCAGTTTCTTGTAGGAAATGTGCAGTGGCTCAGGCCCATAACCCCAGCTACGCAGAGGGCAGAGGTGGAGAGGATCAAGGTTCGAGCCCAGCAGGGGCAAAAAATGTCTGCAAGACCCCATCTCAGACAATGAGGTGGGCATGGAAGGGCGCGGCTGTAATCCCGGCTATGGGAAGTCGAGGGTGGATGGAGACGGACAGAGCCACAGTGACACGTGATCCCCCTCAGGTGACTCACCTCCATCCTTTGAGCCCCAAATGAACCTTGTGAGGCCTGAAAATAGGAATGGCAAGGACGGGCTGGGGAGAATGGTATTTTATTGTGTGTGTGGTTTTTTTTTTTAAAGCAGTGGGGAATTTATTTCTTCTGCTATCAGGCTGAGAACACCTGAGGCTTGGGATGTGTCAGTGTTCATAATAATTTAAAAATAAAATAGGAATGGAAGGCACTGAGACCTTAAAAAACATTCGCAGGGTTTTTAAATTTTTCTTTTTCAAAAACTGTATGCATTGATTACCACATCGTTATTTTTATCGGTAGTTCTGGTAGCTATTTTCCTATAGGGTATAAAGGTCATTTTTATTCGGAAGAGCTACAAACACAGATAGGCTGGCTTGGACCGTAATCCCTGTGTTAAGGTTCGCAGGCGGCTGGGATTATAGGCGTGTGCCACCGTGCCCAGCTTGATGGCTGGGATGGGGTGCAGACAGGTATTTGAGGGAGAAAAACTGTTGCTGGGGGTAAAACCCAGATCCTCAGTTGCAGGGCCTGGCGGGCCTGCCCTATGCCCCGACGTTATGGGGTCTGTCCCATGTCCCCAGACAAAAGGGTCTGTAGCTTATGGGGTCTGTCCCATGCCCGAGCTGTCAGAAAGCAACTTTCTTGGCTGGGCGCCGTGGCTCGAGCCTATCATCATCTCAGCTACGCCGGAGGTGGAGAGTGGGAGGACTGCGGTTCAAAGCCAGCCTGGGCAAAAACTTAGGGAGACCCCATTTCAACTGGCCAACCGCGCACGGTGCAGCACGCCTGTAGCCCTGCCTAGCACCGCAAAAGTCAACGAGGAAAGTCCAGTGCCTTCTGGTTTAAGCGACTGGTGCGGCTTTTCCCCTGACCTGCAGCGATGGGAACCGGGAGATTTTTGCACCGTTTTTGCAACCCGCTACCCCTCCCAACGGGAAAGACCCCATGGCACCAAAGCGCAGACAGGTCGCTCCCATCTCCGCCTCCGGCATGAATTAACGGATGCCTGCTGTTCCGAGGGCGGGGATGAGTGGGGTTTGCTGCCTTATGGGGTTTTCCCGCCACCGCAAAACCCTGTTACGGCGGGGCCGCGGAGCCCGTGCATCCCATGTGCGCCCCGGGTCTGCAATGAGGCCGCCGGGGACCTGAACCCCCGGCCCCGAGAAAGCCACCGTCGTCCCATGTCATCTAGGAAATGCTGGCGCACGGCCTGCGAATGACAAAGTGACTCCCTCCCCAGTGACCCTACAATGGTGGCAGCTGAAGGGGACCAGCCGGGCTCAATGGTGGCGGCTGAAGGGGCCCAGCCGGGCTCAATGGTGGCAGCTGAAGGGCCCAGCCGGGCTCAATGGTGGCGGCTGAAGGGGCCCAGCCGGGCTCAATGGTGACAGCTGAAGGGCCCAGCCGGGCTCAATGGTGGCAGCTGAAGGGCCCAGCCGGGCTCAATGGTGACAGCTAAAGGGGCCCAGCCGGGCTCAATGGTGGCGGCTGAAGGGGCCCAGCCGGGCTCAATGGTGACAGCTGAAGGGGCCCAGCCGGGCTCAATGGTGGCGGCTAAAGGGGCCCAGCCGGGCTCAATGGTGACAGCTGAAGGGCCCAGCCGGGCTCAATGGTGGCAGCTGAAGGGGACCAGCCGGGCTCAATGGTGGCGGCTAAAGGGGCCCAGCCGGGCTCAATGGTGGCGGCTGAAGGGGACCAGCCGGGCTCAATGGTGGCGGCTGAAGGGGCCCAGCCGGGCTCCAATGGTGACAGCTGAAGGGCCCAGCCGGGCTCAATGGTGGCAGCTGAAGGGGACCAGCCGGGCTCAATGGTGGCGGCTAAAGGGGCCCAGCCGGGCTCAATGGTGACAGCTGAAGGGGCCCAGCCGGGCTCAATGGTGGCAGCTGAAGGGGACCAGCCGGGCTCAATGGTGGCGGCTAAAGGGGCCCAGCCGGGCTCAATGGTGACAGCTAAAGGGGACCAGCCGGGCTCAATGGTGGCGGCTGAAGGGGACCAGCCGGGCTCAATGGTGGCAGCTGAAGGGGACCAGCCGGGCTCAATGGTGGCGGCTGAAGGGGACCAGCCGGGCTCAATGGTGACAGCTGAAGGGGCCCAGCCGGGCTCAATGGTGACAGCTGAAGGGGCCCAGCCGGGCTCAATGGTGGCGGCTGAAGGGGACCAGCCGGGCTCAATGGTGGCGGCTAAAGGGGCCCAGCCGGGCTCAATGGTGACAGCTAAAGGGGACCAGCCGGGCTCAATGGTGGCGGCTGAAGGGGACCAGCCGGGCTCAATGGTGACGGCTGAAGGGGACCAGCCGGGCTCAATGGTGACAGCTGAAGGGGCCCAGCCGGGCTCAATGGTGGCAGCTGAAGGGGACCAGCCGGGCTCAATGGTGGCGGCTAAAGGGGACCAGCCGGGCTCAATGGTGACAGCTAAAGGGGACCAGCCGGGCTCAATGGTGGCGGCTGAAGGGGCCCAGCCGGGCTCAATGGTGACAGCTGAAGGGGCCCAGCCGGGCTCAATGGTGGCGGCTAAAGGGGCCCAGCCGGGCTCAATGGTGACAGCTGAAGGGGCCCAGCCGGGCTCAATGGTGACAGCTGAAGGGGCCCAGCCGGGCTCAATGGTGGCAGCTGAAGGGGACCAGCCGGGCTCAATGGTGGCGGCTGAAGGGGCCCAGCCGGGCTCAATGGTGGCGGCTGAAGGGCCCAGCCGGGCTCAATGGCTGCCATGCGTTTTGCAGCTCACCGTCAGCCCCAAGCTATGGCCTCATGGCTCCCTGCCCGCGTGCACCCCAGCTTTCTCCTTTTATCCACCCCTTCGTCATCCCCTGCAGGAACAAATGACGTTATTTCTGTAGGGTTTTGGGCCCGTTGGCTAAAGCGTAGTTCGCATTTTCAGTCAGCAACCCATGCACCCGCAAAACGTCAACGGTGTGACCTTTGCCCTCTGCACCCTTCAGGCGCTACACTCCGTGATTCAATCAACGAACAATGCCGTCGTCCCTGAGCGGTCGTCCTGGGGAGGAAGATCCCGCGTCCAAAGACGCGAGTTCAAAGCCAGGGCAGACCAGATGCCCATTTTGGGTACTGGCAAACTCGACACTATGGGGTCAATTACGTCAGGTCACATCCCATAGAAACATGTTAGGATGAGATCCCACTCGGGAGTGGAAATGGGAACGTCTTGTTCCTGAGTCCGGGTGGCGTCGGTCCACGAGACCCACGTCCGTCCACATCAGATGCGGCCAGCCTTCTTCGCGGCTGTATAATATTCCAGGCGTCTCCACGCGTGAGCGGCGCCACTCAGCCGGCACTGGTCCCTTGGGATACTGTCCCCCGAATGATTTCGGAGCCCCGTGGTGCGACCTCACCCACAGGTCACGTGTCCAATGTCACAGCAGCCCCCATAGGTGGCAGGTGACCCTCGGGTGACACCTGACCCCATCAGGTGACAGGAAGTCCTTACAGGTGATGCATAGCCCTAGGGAGTGACAAGCAGTTCCAACAGGTGAAAAGGGACCCTCAAAGGTGACACGTGACCCTTCCAGAGACGGAGGAGCCGTTGGTCACCTCGCTCGGCCCTCCTGAAGGACGCCGGACATCTGGACAAAAGTTCTCCAAATCTCTTACCGAGGAGGGATGGAAGAGAGACGGCAGGAGCAACAGCAACCACATGGGCTTTTGCTGTCAGCCCAGTGGGACTCCAGCTGCCAAGGGCCTGTGCTGCCCTGTGGCCTGGGGTCCAACTGCACAGCACACCTGGCCCTGACAGGTGGCCTGAGCCCCGTCTCTGTCCACTTCAGCCTCCTGTCTCTCATCAAACCTCAGTCCTCACCTGGGATGGCACAGCGTCAATCATCAAACCTCGGTCCTCACCTGGGATGGCACAGCGTCAATCATCAAACCTCGGTCCTCACCTGGGATGGCACAGCGTCAATCATCAAACCTCGGTCCTCACCTGGGATGGCACAGCTGTGACTGCTGAATTCCCTTCACAAAAAATAAATGCTAAAATCCTGCAGGCTGGACCCAATGCACGGCCCTACAAGCCTCACCCTATTTGCAAACCCCACAAACAGGGGTCCACTAAGCCCTGTGAATCATTGTATTGATTTTGCAAATTGTACCCAAGAGACTTTTCTTCCTATTTTCTATGTGCAATGGGTCCGCACCTAAGTCTTCACCATGCCATCATTTAAAATAATATTATTCACCTCATTGGGGTTTTTATTTTCTTTTTATTCCCCCTCTACCTGCAAAATATGTACATATTTACGAATCTGGTTTTTTTCCCCCCATATGGGTGGAAGCAAAAAAATTTTTTTTTAAAAAAAGAACTGCAGCACCCGGCTGTGGGTTACAAGGCCACTAATTAAATGTCAGGCTTGACAGATTAAAATTATGAAATTTAAAATCACTGGGTTTCACTTTGTCACTGTCAAATTACAAGTCAGGTTGATGGGAAGCCGGGAGCGTAATGGATTGAATGGGAATGGGGTGTAGCAGGCTCTCTCTCTCTCTCTCTCTCTCTCTCTCTCTCTCTCTCAGAATCTGGTTGTTCAGAGCCAAAACCACCACCCACCAGTGGCTTTGTTTTTTCTTTTTGGGGGGGTTTTTTGCTTGCAAATCCATCCAGAAAAATCTAGGAAAACTGTACATTTAGAATGCTATCATATAAGGTTGTAACCTAAAAAAAAAAAAATTCCCTTTTTCTGGTTTGCATCCCATAGACAAGGACTTTGGGACCATCTCAGTGGCCATGTGGTGCATTTATGTGCACTTCAGGATAACCGTGCAATAATTAGACTCCACTGTGCACAGGTAAGGAAAGCACCTGTCTGCATGGGGACAAGAGGACCCGTCGATGTCTACATCAGCACAAGCAATGAGGAATTGCAAACACCAAAGTCCTTAATTAGACATGCTTTTGTGCAATTATGCAGCACTCAGTGTGACCATGCAACAATTAGTCATCACCGTGCACAGGCAAAGAATGCACCAAGTTCACAATGGGGACAAAGGGACCTGGTCATGTCCCTCCGTCTACATCAGTCAAGCAATGCAGAACTGCTCACACCAAAGTCCTTAATTAGACGGTGATGTTGTGCAATTATGCAGTACTCTGTGTAACCGTGCAATAATTAGCCTCCACTGTGCACAGGTAGGGATTGCAAGGAGCTATGCCATCTTCATGGGGACAAGGGGACCTTACAGTTTCCGTCTATCTGCACCAGTGCCAGCGACGCTGAATTGCTTTGAATAATTCAGGACCCGGGTCTGGTGAAGTATAACTCACTTCAAAGACATTCTGCAGCGCAATACATCTTGAGAAGATCGCTTCACTTTCCGCGAGGGCTTTTGGGTAAAGAAATGCAAAAACGAGCAATGCCAGAAATGTGTGCAAATTGCTCCAAGCTCCCCCGGCTGTCATATCCCAAATGCAGCAGGAGTGGCCCTGTGTGACTACGATGGCACCACCAGCAAGCACACGAGAAGGAGCTGAGGAAAAAAATCCTACAGAGATCCCATAAACGTGGAGTGTGGGGTGGAGAGGGTTCAAGCTTTGCCCCCCCTCACCTCCCCATGTCTCTTTTTCTCTTTGACTTTTCCAGTGTCCCTCTTTCTTAGGGTTTGGACCTGGGTGGTCCCAAAGGCACAGTGGGCAGAGGTGTTCGGAGATGGAGCCTTTGGGAGGAGAGTGGAGCAAGATGACCTCACCCCAAGACCCTTAATTCCACCTGCAAAGACCCTATTTTCAAATCAGGTCCCATTCTCAGCTCCCAGGTGACATAAAATTGGGAAAAGTCACTATTCACCTCAGTTCTGTGGAACTTGTCCATATTCCAATATGGCAGCTTGACCCAATAGAGTGGGTGCAGATTTATCTTAACTCAAGGACTTTATCCCATCTGCAGAGACCCTATTCCCAAATGAGGTCCCATTCTCAGGTCCCAGGTGACACACCTTTTGGAAAAGACACCATTCCCCTCAGTTCTACGGAACTTGACCGTATTCCAATATGGCGGCCTGACCCAATGGAGTGAGTCATGTATGACCTCATCTCAAGACTTAATCCCATCAGCAAAGACCCTATTTCCAAGTGAGGTCCCATTCACTGTCTCCCCAAAGGACACATATTTTGGAAAAGACAGTTTTCCCCTCAGTTCTATGGAACTTGACCATATTCCAATATGGCGGCCTGGCCCAATGGAGTGGATCCAATATGACTTCATCTCAAGACCCTTAATGCCACCTGCATTTCCTCTATAAATTAGCCTTCACTTCTGGGCATTTGGCTTATGGTCTCTTTTTTTCACCTTCGAACCTCAATTTACCCCAAAGCCGCTTTCAAAACCCTGAAGTCATGGGAAAATTGGTGGGTTTGGTTTTGATGGAGATGTCAAACCCCCCAAAACAAAAAAAAAATCCCAAATTGTCACCAGCTAGAAGAAAGGGGTCAAGGGGTCATGAAACCTGGGGGACCTTCTGTTCTCAGCCCGATGCTATATCCTACATTGGGGTTCTGTGGTGTCTGATTGGTGAAACTTGGGGTGCTATTGCAACTTCCCGATTCTCATTCTTTTCAGTCTTTATGACATCTCCAGTCCTTGCAGGAATCCCCTTCCAAACTTATCAATAATTAATAGGACACCTGAGAATATTTGAACAACACGAACACATCTCAGCTAACATATTTCACCTTCCAAATATCACAGTTTCTGGGTTCTTTCATCTCTTTTTATCAAAGTCTCCTTTATGGGGCAGACAAGACCCCTGGGCTGAGTTTTAATCCCCGCACATACTTCAAAACGGATTGGGACGGGGGGAGGCAAACGTCTGACCTTATAATTCACAAAACACCTGGCTTCCTATTCTGACTCCACAGCCAGGAAATCAAAATTAGTGATTTTTTTTTCTTTTATTTCACCTCGGGAATATTTCTTACATGGGGTGAGAGTGAAATACAGCTTGTGTAAATCGTGCATCCTAAACTGATTTTTGCAGAATTTCAATGCTTTGTCTATATATATACATTATATATATATATATATATATATATATATATATATATATATATATAATTTTTTTACTGCTTAGATACACTACATCTGGGTTTTCTTCATTTTTTAAATTTTTTGGTGAGTGGGAACTGTAAATATAAGACTTTTGATAAATGTAGGAAGGGCATTCTTCCACAAGCCATATTAAATTTCTTAACTTTCCATAATCAATCTCTTTCATCTGCCTTGAGGACACCTGTGTCCCCTTTTGTCCCCTCCCATCCTTGGAAAAAATGAGAAATCCCTTGCTTTGGAAAAGTTCCCCCATTATTAAATTGGGATTTCCATTTTTTGTGGGAAGCAAAATATCTATATATCTCATCTGACAATTACCTATAAATGTGCATATCTGCCCATTGGACAGTCATATCTGTTTGTCTATTATTTACCTTTCAATCAATGTATTAATCTATAAATCACACATGTAATCTATCATCTACTTATTTACTGCTTCTCACTTATTTAAGCATATGAAGTTAGGTACACTTATCTGTCCATCTACCAATCATGGATATCGATATGCCTAACTTCTGTGAATTTATTTATTTATACATCGAATACTTTTTACCTATTTCTTTATCATGTATTTCTCTATCATCTATCATTCATTATTCGATATGTAAATCTTGACCCTGACTCTGTTGATCACAGAACAATCTATAAATCATGAAGCTAACTATTTAACATCTATTTCTATCTTTGTAATTCACTATGTATCATCTATTCATCTATAATTTCTTAGTGATCAAGTTTACATGGCACAACTACCATCTATCACTCTATTTATATACAAACATATTTATGTGTCTATCTAGCAATATTTATGTATTTAATGTACATCTGTCAGCTATCATCCACACACCCATCCATCCACCCATCCACCCATCCATCCATCCATCCATTCACTCATCCATCCACCCATCCATCCACCCATCCATCCATCCACCCATCCACCCATCCATCCACCCATCCATCCATCCACCCATCCATCCATCCATCCATCCATCCATCCACCCACTCATCCATCCACCCATCCATCCACCCATCCATCCATCCACCCATCCACCCATCCATCCACCCATCCATCCATCCACCCATCCACCCATCCATCCATCCATCCATCCACCCACTCATCCATCCACCCATCCATCCACCCATCCACCCATCCACCCATCCATCCATCCATCCACACATCCATCCATCCATCCATCCATCCATCCACTCATCCATCCATCCATCCATCCACCCACTCATCCATCCATCCATCCATCCATCCATCCATCCATCCACCCACCCATCCATCCATCCACCCACCCACCCATCCACCCATCCATCCATCCATCCACTCATCCATCCATCCATCCATCCACCCACTCATCCATCCATCCATCCATCCATCCACCCATCCACCCATCCACCCATCCACCATCCACCCATCCACCCATCCATCCATCCATCCATCCATCCATCCATCATGTCTACATTGGAGAGATTCCTGGCAATTCTGGAGACATGTGTCTGTAGTGACATCAAAGGCCCTGAGAGCCAGAGCCCATGTGGGTCCATGCGTCCCCTAAAATATTGGGGTACCATTCACTACACATTCATCTCCTATTCCAACCACAGGAAATCCCACATTGGTTTTTGTGAAAACAGGGTGACATTACCTCTCTGTAACCTATGGGTTTTCCCAAAATGGACTTATAGCGTCCAGATAAGCAGAAAGAACCCAGTGAGCTCGTATGACCCCTCCTGTCCCTATAAACCCTTTTTCTTTTAGGAAAAAAAAAACCATTTTTTTCCTACATGCAAAATTCTCTGTCCACTGTGTGAGTTTGTCTGACAGTAAATATATCATTTTTCAATTCTAAACATTGCAAAAATAAGGGCTCCTCTGTCCTCCCTGGGGTCCAAGTCCACCTGGTCATCTGGAATATTCCACATTGCCACAAAATTTTAAATGTTTGGTTCTCAAGGTGTGAGATTGGTTTTGGGATATGGACTGGGGCCATCTTGGGTGCTGGGGCTAATGAGGGTTTGTGGCTAAGTCACAGGGTGTCCTTCCAGAAATGGCTGGAAGGCCGCCCTGCACACAGGTAAGACCTATGATCCATCAAAAAAAAAAAAATCCCATCTTTATTCATGCCCCATGGTGGCCGTCACTAAGTACCACAAACCAGGAGCAAACAGCCACACGTATTGAATATCTGACAGGATTTGAGGCCAGAAGTGACAGGGGAAGCTTGGCAGGGGTGGATCTTTCTGAGGGCTGGAAGGAGAGTCCCTTCTGCCTCCCTCCTGGTTCCTGGCAATTCTGAGTGTCTCTTGGCTCGTGGCTCCATCACTCCAGTCTCTGCCTCCGTCTTCACGTGGCTTCTCCTCTGTGTCTGTGTCTCCCCTCCTCTCTCTTGTTAGGACACTGCCATTGCATTTAGGGCCACCTTCATCCAGGATGACCTCATCTCAAGACCCTTCATTCCATCTGCAAGACCTTATCTCCAAATGAAATCCCATTTTCAGCTCTCTGGTGACACAGCTTTTGGAAAAGTCACCATTCCCCTCAGTTCTATGGCACTTGACCATATTCCAATATGGCGGCCTGGCCCAATGGAGTGGGTGACACAGCTGGTCCAGGATGACCTCATCTCAAGACCCTTCATTCCGTCCACAAAGACCCTATTTCCAAGTGAGGTCCCATTCTCAGGCCCCGGGTGACACACATCTTGTAAAAGTCACCATTCCTCTCAGTTCTATGGAACTTGACCATATTCCAATATGGCGGCTTGACCCAATGGAGTGACTCCAGGACGACCTCATCTCAAGACTCTTAATCCCACCTGCAAAGACCCTATTTCCAGATGAGGTCCCATTTTCAGGTCCCAGGTGACACAGCTTTTGGAAAATCCTCTATTCCCCTCAGTTCTATGGAATTTGACCTTATTCCAATATGGCAGCCTGGCCCAATGGAGTGGGTGACACAGCTGGTCCAGGATGATAACAGGTCAAGACCGTATTTACAAATAATCAATCTTAATCAATTGATCATTTATCTGCAAAGACCCTATTTCCAAATGAGGCCCCAATGTCAGGTAACAAGTGAGGTGACTCCTATATGATTTCTTTTGGTCCCCCTATTGGGGACAGGTGCTGTCACCTTTGAGTGCACAACCCTTCAACTATGCCAATCATCCTAAAAAAAAAAAAAAAAACAACCCAGCAGTTCAGACCTGAAATTTGAGGCAATTCTCTTGTTAAGTCATATTTGTGATTTCAAAGATGCTTGTGGCTGAGGAGCCATGGCTCCCGTGATTCAAATCCCGGCTGCATATTTTAATATGAACAGGGAGTCATTTGTATAAAATTAAGTCACTCTGGATAATATCCGTTGTCTTCACATTATTTCTTTAATTTGTAACTCGTTGTAAGTGTTTTTTTTTTTTTCTTTTATGAGCTCCAGTGAGGTGTTTGATTTAGAAAATTGCATGAAAAGAGGTGATCGGGATGTCAGATCAGATTTTCCTGTGATTTCTGTCTATGCATCCTTAAAATGATTGATTATTTAGGATACGGGGGGGGGGGGGAGAAGATACAAGATTAAACCCAAGACCCTCTAATAAATTAGAGGGTTTTAAATTAGGCGTGCGATGCGAAACCTGCAAGGTCAACTTGCTGCACAGCAAAGGGGACAGCGACAACCAGGACGAACTTTCCTGTCACTGCAAATCGCCACCAAGCATCAATGAGACCTGCAAAGTCACAGAGGTGACAGTATGAATGCCCTCCCCCCAAATAAAAATGCCTGGAGATTTTTAAAAAATTCTGACCTCATTTATTCTCAGGTCACACAGCAATGAATGCACTAGTGAAGTCGAGGCCACTCGCTGTCCAGCTGGTGCGGGACATGGGACTCAAGACAGGGGACTGGGGTTGACTACTCGTTGGTGACACTGTGCAAAGGCTGGGGGGGGGACAACCTCTGCCTTCCCCCCCCATCCTTCAACATGGGCGACACAGTCAATGCCATCGGTTATGCAAGTGGACAGCTGTGAAAGATCCAGGGCAGGTGACCAGGTGAGCTTGGAGTGGGGACAGAAGCCACAGAGATGATGAAGGGGGACCGGAGGGGCTCTGTGTCACTGGGGAACTGGCCAAGGGACATCGTTCCAGGACACAGAGCCACCCCCCCCACTCTGACCCTTGAAAAGACCCAGCTGACCCCCCAGTGACCTCAGCTCTTTACAAATGGGTAAACTGAGGCCACCACGTGCCCATCACTCACCATCTGCTGCTGCAGGCAGGTGATTGACCCCGAAGCTGGGTCCCCCATAAAACAGCACGGGCGGGACATTCATGACTGAATGGGGACTGAGTTCAAAGGAAGTCCACCCAATTCAGCCAGCTGCCTTTAAGGAGATTTAGCCAAAGGCGATTTTCAAGCCTGTTATTTAATTTTTACAATCCCAGGATGGCAACACGTGTTCAAATGCTTTTTCTGTGGGGGAAAGCGGTGGTGATTCCTGGACATGGAGTCTCTCTGGTCCTGTAAGTGGGATCCCCTGTAAACCTAGAAGAAGCATTTGTACACACACCCCCCACTTACCCCATTTACGTGGTGCTGTAGCTTAGCTCTGAACGTCCTCCAAAGACCCCTGTGTTTAGGCTTAATCCCCAGCTCAGAGCTGTTGGGAGCTGGTGGAGCCTTTAAGAGATGGAGCCTAGGAGGAGGAAATGAGGTCATTGGGGGCGTGGTCTTCAAGGCAGGGCCTAGTAAGAGGTGAGGTCATTGGGGGCGTGGCTGTGGAGGTGAGATTGATGACTCATAGCTTAATGGGCTATTGGGAGGAAGTGAGGTCATTGGGGGCGTGGCTGTGGAGGTGAGATTGATGGAGGCATAGCTTAATGGGCTATTGGGAGGAAGTGAGGTCATTGGGGGCGTGGCTGTGGAGGTGAGATTGATGGAGGCATAGCTTGGGCTATTGGAGAAGTGAGGTCATTGGGGCGTGGCTGTGGAGGTGAGATTGATGGAGGCATAGCTTAATGGGCTATTGGGAGGAAGTGAGGTCATTGGGGGCGTGGCTGTGGAGATGAGATTGATGGACGCATAACTTAATGGGCTATTGGGAGGAAGTGAGGTCATTGGGGGCGTGGCTGTGGAGGTGAGATTGATGATCAGCTTAATGGGCTATTGGGAGGAAGTGGAGGTCATTGGGGCGTGGCTGTGGAGGTGAGATTGATGACTCATCATAGCTTAATGGGCTATTGGGAGGAGTGAGGTCATTGGGGGTGTGGCTGTGTGAGGTGAGATTGATGGAGCAATAGCTTAATGGGCTATTGGGAGGAAGTGAGGTCATTGGGGGCGTGGCTGTGGAGGTGAGATTGATTGACTCATAGCTTAATGGGCTATTGGGAGGTAAGTGAGGTCATTGGGGCGTGGCTGTGGAGTGAGATTGAATGACTTATAGCTTAATGGGCTATTGGGAGGAAGTGAGGTCATTGGGGGCGTGGCTGTGGAGGTGAGATTGATGACTCATAGCTTAATGGGCTATTGGGAGGAAGTGAGGTCATTGGGGGCGTGGCTGTGGAGGTGAGATGGATGGACGCATAGCTTAATGGCTATTGCAAGGTGGTGGATCCTATAGGAGGCGGGGCCTAGTGGGAAGAAGTGAGGTCATCGGGGCATGACCTTGAAGGGGATTTTAGGACCCTAGTCTCTTCTGTTTTCTCTCTTTCCTTTCTGGCCACCATCAGGTGAGCAGTTTTCCTGCACCACCTGCTCCCGCCATGATGCTGTCCCTCACCGTGGTCCAAAGCAATGGAACCAACCCACCCTGGACTCGAACCCCCAACACTCTGAGCCAAAACAAACCTTTCTTTTCCATAACTTCATCATCACAGGTGCTTGTGTCACGGTGGCCGAAACCTGACGCATCCCTTGTTCGTCGGCGTCTGACCTTGCGGTCAGTTGAAGCCTTGTGTCCATTTTAGGCTGTTTTTCCACGACTATCATTCGATGCCTGAGACTGGGGAACTTTATAAAGAAAAAGATTGCTTTTGGGCTGAAACTTCTGGTCCAAGGCCGAGCACACACAATTTATTGACACATACGTGGTGACGCCCACAGGGATCGGGTCCGCGTCCGTTATAAAGCCCAGGATGCAATTGGTAACCTTCTCTTGTTACCAGCTAAAGACCCCACTTCTAAACCTCAGTTTCTGTTTCCACCCTCTTAAACTTTATTATGGGGATTGAATTACAATGGGACTGTTTTGGGGGACAAACCATGCATGCTACCTTCCTAGGCAAAGGCGACTTTGCAAGTGTGATGGACATAAGGACCCTAGGAGGAGGGAGATGACATCTGGTCCTTGTAGAGGCACCATATGCCATGGTGAGAAGCCCCGTTGGAACATGGAAGAGAAAGATTTGGGGGACATTAAACCAGGCACCCCTAAAGTCACAAAATGCCAGCAACCTGCAAGGGACAGAGCTGGCCATGTAGACATCTTGGGTTTTGACCCAGTGATGATGACGTGGGGGTTGTGGTGGAGGTGGCGGTCACTCAGTCAACGTGTGGTGTCTTCGGCCTAGTCGGGTGGTTTGGTGCAAAGTTGTCACAGTGGCAGGAGGGACCAGAGAGGTCCCGAGAGGACATCCTGACAGCGCCATTGTCGAGGACAATGAGAGCTTTGGTCCAGGTGGCCGCAGTGTGTCCAGGAGGGACATTGGTGACAGCAATGTATACAGAAGGCTTGTCTGTGATGGTAATGTATACAGAAGGCCCACTGGTGACCTGAGTGTGTCCAGGAGGGACATTGGTGACAATTCTGCATTCAGAGCCATCTGTGATAATAGTGTGCCCAGAAGGACTGTCTTTGGCAACACTGTACTCAAAAGGCCAGACTGTGACATCTGTGGCCACAAAGTGTCCAGGAGGCCTGACTTTTGTGGGTAAAATGCATCCAGAAAGTCATTTGGGGTTACCATGAGTGTAAAATGACTGTCTGTGACAATGGTGTATCCAGTAGGACGGTGTGTGTGCTTACAGTGTACACAGAAGGCCACCTGTGACCATAACGCATACAGAAGGCCACCTGTGACCCCAGTGCATACATAAGGCCACCTGTGACCATAACGTATACAGAAGGCCATCTGTGACCCCAGTGCATACAGAAGGCCATCTGTGACCCCAGTGCATACAGAAGGCCACCTGTGACCATAAAGCATACGGAAGGCCATCTGTGACCCCAGAGTACACAGAAGGCCATTTGTGACCCCAGTGCATACAGAAGGCCACCTGTGACCCCAGTGTATACAGAAGGCCACCTGTGACCCCAGTGGCATACAGAAGGCATCTGTGACCCCAGTTTGTTACAGAAGGGCCATCTGTGACCCAGTGCATACAGAAGGCCATCTGTGACCCCAGTGCATACAGAAAGGCATCTGTGACCCCAGTGCATACAGAAGGCCATCTGTGACCATAACGCATACAGAAGGCCACCTATGACCGCAGTGTATACCGAAGGCCATCTGTGACCCCAGTGCATACAGAAGGCCATCTGTGACCCGAGTGCATACAGAAGGCAATCTGTGACCCCAGTGCATACAGTAAGGCCACCTGTGACCCCCAGTGCATACAGA